AGAATTTTTTTTCTATAAGCAGTTCAGAAACTAAAATGGAAATATTATATTCTGAATTTATGTATTTTTAGTCTGGTCTTCTATATCTTAATGGGGAGCCTGCAATGATACGTTCTGGTATTTCTTCACAGTTATTGCAGTCAGTATCTGGAGAGTTTCAGGAGCAAACTGCCTGTAGCTAAGTACTGGCATTTCATCTTGTATTAAATGTTGAGATCTACTTAGTGTTGTTTTTACTGTACTAAGGGAATTTAGGAAAGACCTGAAAATGCAGTGTATGTGAGCCTTTGTTACAAAGTACGAATTGTTAATTTAATTATGGAAAACACTAGTTAAAAATATTTCAGAAATTAATGTTCCAGTTTGGAAAAAAATTGAGGACAAAATCTTGCTTTGCTATCTGAAACACAAAATGCGTTGTGTGTAGTGATGTGATACTGTAAGAAGAAATACAAACCAGAATCTTCTAGTTCTTCCAGCAGCAATACACGCACAGGGATAAAATCAGAGTTATTGTTGTTGCTAGTAAAATTGCTTAGGAATAAGGAAACAAATCTACTAAGCAAAATAGGTGATGTAAGACTTAAACCCAGGGGCTTCTGACCTGAACTGTTTCCAACTTTGTAAATTTTACAAACCTCAAAATTTAGATGCATAAAAGTTATTTTTCAGCAGTGAGGAGGAAGGTATATGAACTTTATCAACAAATGTGAATCTTGATTGTTTACTCATTAACAATCTGGCCCTATAAATTTGAGTTTCCTGACTACTAATTCACCTACTGTATGCATCGTTCTCATTGTTGATAATTTCTTTGTTTATATCTAATGGTGCTGTTCAGTAATTATTCCTTTTTTTTTTAAAGAAAATGACTCTCTTAATGTTGTTTTTCATATCTTGAAGGATTTTTTTTCTTAAAAAAACTAATTACGAGAGTTGCTAATATTAAATTAAGCTAATATTTTGTGTTCGTCTATGGAGTGTTTATTTTGCTTTACATACAGCATATAATGATTACATCTCTGCAGGTGGATTCTTATATCCTTGAGCTATAGTTACCTTAACATACCCTTGGTCTAAGCCAATTTTTTGACTAAAATAGTGTTCTTTGCTACCTATAACTTTGAACACTTTTTTGGGGTAAAGCTTCTTGACTCTGGTAGTCAGTCAACCCCCTTTCTTGAGAGCAAGCATACAGAAAGGGTTGAGCACCATATTTGACTTCCCAGCACAAGAAACCCCCTTCATCAGTGCTCTTTCCCCCTTCGTTTATATGTTTCTTGTGTCTAGCTGTTTTGGGGAGGTTCTAGCTTCTGCGTAAGTAGCAATATTCTGTAGAATTATATGGAAATACTCTTTAGATCCGACTCTCTGCTTCTGGGTAGGAAGTACTATAGTAGTAGTTGGGTAGAAAGAATTGATCTGAGTTGTAGATTGTAGTTGTTTGAATTGGCAATTAAAATCAGTGTATGAAAGGTATTACTGTTCAGACAAAGTCACTTTTGAGGGGTTGGCGGAAGGGTACTAACTGTTGTCGTTTAGTTAGGAAACTTTAATGCCAAAGATTTTGCTTTCCATTAGTGGCATAGCATTATTCAAAAAGAAGTTCTTTTCTAATTTTGCTTTTAATTCTGTTATGAAAGTGAATATGGGAAGGATTTCCATGAGCAGAATGGAGAGAATGTTTTTTTGGTTTTTTGTTGTGTTTTGATTTTTGTTTTTAAAACCTGGTACCTAAGCTATGCAGAAAATATGTTTGAGGACAAAATGCGTGAGAGAAATCAAAATGATAATTTTTTGATAGTTTATCTGTAAAATATTTCTTGCCCATATAGTAGGTGGTGTTAATGTCTAGTGCAGTTGGTTAAGAGTCTTGTAATCTGCAACTTTCATTTTCTTTTCTTCATCAATAGAAGGAAGGACCAATGAAGTAGTAAAAAGATTATCAAGCCAAAGTCATCATATAGGTTAAACAATTTATCCGTATTTTTATTAACTACAGGCTTCTTTTCCTGGCTGCCTGCCCTGAGAAGCCAGCATGCTCCATCCTTCCTTCCTTCCTTCTTCTTTTTTATGGATCATCCGCAGGCAAAATTATGTTCGTAGTGACAACCTGCCGTTTCTTTTTGGTCTGCAGTGATGCAGTTTGGAGAAATCTAATAAATTCTGTTGGTATTTGTAAAGATGAATAGAATCTGCAGCTCAGTCTGTTATTTGGGTAGGTTTGACAAGGCCGCTGGAGTAAGTGTACAACATTATTTAAAGCAGGGGCTGTAGCATTTGGACCGTTCTTCTCTGCAGGTGCTGTGGGAGATAGTGGTAAATTGTTTTAGATTGGAGCTTTGTAAGCTTATGAAAGTGTAGGATTTTTTTTCTATCCTAAAGATAGAAAATCAATCTTTCATACTGTATGTGGAGTCCTTTCCAAGGTACACGTGCGTAGAGGGCTTTAAAGGAGATTGAATTCAGGGTTTTTTTACATCCTGTTCATATTATATGAATCCTAAGCAATAAAATTACCTGAAGGCTCCTGAAAAAATTATTTTGTTCAGTCCTGCTCCCCCCCTACACATACATTTACACTCCTGATGTAAAGTCTACCTGATGTTTTATCTTTGCGCGTGTGTGTACGTTCCTAGGAAGCCTGCAAATTATCATGGCCAGAAAAAGAATATAGGTTTGTGTGTTCTGTGGTTCTCAGAGGTATTCAGAATCTCTTACATCCCCGGTATTAAATGTCCCCAGTTAGATCTTACATTTTGGGTGAGATGTCCTCCTGTTGTCCAGGTTAATAGAAGACCATTAGCTTTTTTCCCCCCGTTCTCTAGCATGGGGTGTGGGACACGCGCAGGGTCATCAGCAAGATTTCTTTGACAAATTCCTCACAACAGGGACCAAGATTATAATGATGCCCTTAAACTCTCCTGCTCATCATCAGCACGTAATGGTTGTATTTTTTAGTCTTTTTCTGGAGGTTTTTCATTTGGAATTGGATGTTAGGAAGGGTTTTGCATCTGGAACGAAAATACTCCATGACCTACTGAACTAACATTTATTACATGTTTACCTGTATTTATATGGGACTGGGCTTAATAAAGCAGCCTTGTGCATGGTCCTGTGTAGAAGAACCCATGGGCCCATACCACAGCAGCTTTCCCAAGCAGCATACTGAGCGTTACAGCAATAACGCAGACCATGCATAGCTAGAGTTAGCACAGATTGCCTAATTGAAATTGAAGTCCATGCCCACATTACCATGTAAGCGATGTCGGATCCCCGTACTTGTGGAGTTTAACTCTGATGTTTATTAAATGGTCCAGCTGGTTAATTAGAATGAAGTATGTTTTGAATGGGTTTGCTCCTTTTTATTTTTGTATTTAATATTGATTAGCTTTCCTGACATAACATAAACTTGAGTTTATTAACTACAAATTAGGAATTGACATAAACAGAGTAGACGGGTATGTCCAGAGTGCCCAGTGGAGGTTTTTATTTGTATTACAAGGTGACTCTCATGAATTTTAATGCAACTATATAAGAAATTGGAGTTAGCCCACTTTACTTAAAAGCAAGCTGGAAATAGGCAAAATATTTAAGCGCGTACATGCAGCAAAACATTAAACTCTTGATTTTGGTATTCTTTCAATCACTGGATTGTGGTTATTTTAAGAAGTTGATTGTATCTGTGTTTCTGTTCCTTCAGCCAGACTTAGAAACAGAATGGTATCAAACGTAAATTTTTTTTGTCAGTTTGAAAATCCCTAGATTGTTTGTTAGAGCTTATGAAAAAAGCTAACAGGTTTCATAAAGTGTTTTTTTTAAATCTTCAATTGAAAGGGAGGGTACTTTTAACTGTCTGAGGATTGATGACATCTGATAAATATAATTGGTTTCCTGGATAAGTTGTTGACTTGAGGTTTGGGTGGGGTTTTCGTTTGTTTGTTTTTTTAATAAAGAATGAGCTACAAGCTAATCCAAGAGAAGATAGGCATTGTTTCTAAATCCTAAATCCACTGTTTCTAAGTGTCCGTGTTAGGGTAGAGGTCTGTGTCTGCCTCTGTCCTTGCTCTGAGACTTGGCAATAGCAGGTGTCTGGGGGCCAGAATAAGAGCTGAGAAAGAATCCAGTGACGCTTCCCAAATTCTTGCCTTGCTTCCAGCAAATTATATTTCAGGAATATGATGAAAGAAGAGGTGGTGTGTAGTCTCTTTGGATGAATCAAAGGTTTGTTCTGATCTTGAACACTGCTGATGACGTGGGGACTGGTATGCTGGGAAGCTTCCCGCGTGCCGTTCATTAAGGAAAAAGACACAGAGCCCAAAATTTCATCACAGAAGTAAAGGCTCAGTACTGCTGACAGTAATGAGTGCATACGACTAATGCTAAGGAATCATCCTCATTTTTAATATTTGCTAACCAATCATTGTCTATAAAATGAACATTAAAGAAAGACAAGGTTCATGCAGTAGATCTAGGCAACAGTGTTGTTTTAATCTGTTAGTTAATGGAGATGAGCATATGTTTATAGTGACTTCTTAAGAGACCAGATGCTTTTAGTTTTGTATAATCTTTATCTGTCCACATTCAAAAACTTCAAAGGTTTTCCATTTGATTATGAAGGTAATGAAGTGGTGAATATTTTCAAGAATATGAAAGAACATATCATTTAATAAACCCGAAACTCTTCTAAGCAAAAATAACGGCTCTTCATTTTCTCTATGTGGTATGGAGAGGAGTTACAAAGGAAAGTCCAGCTGACTTTGTTCTGTACTCCTTAGTTTTTGAAAGGATTAGGAAAAAAAGCAACTGTTTACATAAGATGCAGTTATCTGTTAGATTGCCTTTTTTTTGAGGTAATAGAATGGATGGGTTAGGAAGGCAAATTCTTGCGGGCCTAGAAACTTTGTTGGTAAATCACTTCTATGGTCTAATTTAATTGAACTTGTGAAAGGCACAGTAATGAAACATAGCTAATAAGTAATTTACTTTTATTTCTCTAGACACTGGAAGCCATTTTGAATTTTAAGTACTCTGGTGGACCAGGACATGTTGAAGGATATTACAGGAACCTTTCACTAGGCCTTCATGTAGAAGTAGAGCCATCTGTTTTCTTTACACGTGTCAGCACCCTTCCAGCAACAAGGTAAGCCTGGTTTTGACTCTTCTAGATTTGACTGATTGTCTCCATTATATTGGCTGTAACTTAAACACCGTGCTGGATACTTTCAGTATCATCAGCAACAGGTAGGTAAAGAATTATGTGAACAAATTTTCAAAATCTCTCATTTAGGAGTTCAGCCTCCGTTATCTGCAGACTATGATTAAAGCAATCCACGTGCATTGGACAATTTCTGAGGTTCCAACACTTTTTCATGATGGTTTCTTTCACCAGGGACAGGATATCTCTTGTTTATTGTAAAATTCGATGACTTCTTTCTATATCTCTTTGCTGTTCTGGTGTGTTGTGCATTACATTGTTTTGTGTTTGTCTAACAGAATCTTACCCAAAATGCATGTGTAAATGATTGTCTTTGGATGTGAGGAATAAATTGTAATAATTCTCTCCTTTGCTTGCTTTCTTTTGTCAGCCACAGAGTAGTTTCATGTATCATAGTGAATTTAAAAATCATGGCAACACGTGGTGGTGGTCAAATGCCATAATTACTAAAATCTGATTGCCTAAAATTCGTCAGCAACTGTGTATAATCAGTTTTAATAATAATTTGTGTTGATAAAATTGTCTTCATTTGCTGCTAAATACACAGTTCCTATTCTGTACATTTTTATTTGATTTTATATTGCTTTACATACTGCTTAAGCAAAGCAGCTTTTGCAAAAATGAATTTTGTAAGTTAATGATTTTACTGATCCTTAATCCACAATTTTTTGTTAATTAAGTTCACCTATGCTAGTACTTAAATACTCTACAATCTTGAAATATTTGGGATGTATTCAAACTCTGGCAGTTCCAGAGGTGGCCTTTGAATAGCTGTCATTCAAAAGATGATTAAACGAGCTTGGGTTTGTTGGGAAGAAAGAAGATTGAGAATGGACTTTGTTTCAGTGCATAAGTACTTCTGAGGTGTAAATATCAAGGAGGAGGAAATATTCTTTTGAATGAAGAATGAAGTTAGTGCAAGAAAAAATGGTTACAAATTGGACAGGAATATGCTTCTATTAAAAATCCCCTTGTAATAATCAGCTACCCTACCAAAGTAGCAGGATTATTGAAAAGACAGCCAGCATACATAGTGGGAGCAAGCATTTTGTTTTGTTTTAAGTCTGAAATTATTTCAGTGCCATTATGTAATACTACTAATAATAATAGTTAAGAGCGAACTTAATTGATCCAAGAGGTTCCTGCTGGTCCTAGGACCTTTTTCATGACAGACTTTAGAAATAAAACCCAAAGATAGGCAAGAAGGGAATCTAAGTCTTGGAGATACTGGGAGCTTATTTCATTTTCAACGGAAAGAAATGAGTCACCAGTATCATACCATTGCAAAAATGTCCAAGGATGGATGGACAGCAATATAGCTTGCAAAACATGAAGTGTTTCTTCTCTTCCTGTGAAAAAAAGAAGTAAAGCCTCAAGAAAAGTTACTGTATCTAGTTTGGGGCTTGAACTTGGAGAAACATGAAGAAAAGTGGACAAGTTGGAGAAAGTCTAGAGCAAGAAGAGTGATAAAATGTGACTTATGCTAAAGCATGAGTTTAAAGAAACTCTTGGTCTTGCTGAAGCCAAAGAGAGGACTGACAGAGGACTTAAGTTTTTAATTACATAAATGGCACTGCCAAGAGGATAGGTATCTGTTTTTCACAGCAGGTAATACGGTAAATTATGACCTTCGCATATAGCAAGGGGGATTTTCGGTTAGGCAAAGGTAACGAAACACTGAAATAGTTTTTGTAAAAAATGTCTGAAAATGAGACAAACAAGACTATCTCAAATGGAATATTTTTTAATGATAATTGTGTCCGGCTCTTATAAGAGAGAGCTAAAATGGTATGGCTTTATTGGTAAGCAGGTTTGTCAAGCATTTTGCTGCTTGGAAGTGTAGCATAATAAGCATAATTTTATTCTTTTAGGAACTGCTCTAGTAAAGTAAATCTAATACTGCCTGTGAAGTCAGAACACGGTATCCGGAACAGCTGTTTGCAAAATCCCAGGAACCTCGTCAGTGATGTTCAGAGTTTCGTCCCTGCAATAGCACATTCTTAGGCCTTTGTAAGGTTTCCAGGGTTTAGTCAGTGATCTCTCTTTATCAACCTGGAAGTACCACAGCATCTACTTTAAGTAGTTTTCAAGAAGTTTCATTATACAGCTTAAAATACTTGGTTTGCTTTTATTATTTGCATGCATAGTCCTCTTCATTCAGTGTCAAAAATGTCCTTTGTACTCTGCCTATGTGTACTTTTAAATGGACAGCATGACTGCTCTTTGGTTCACTGCAATTACTTTCCTGTAGTCACAGAGCAGCTTGGGTGTGAAGCTGCGAACCTTCCATAAAAGCTTCAAATACAACCTGATGCTTTTATTTGAAACTCTTGTTAGTAAGCTGGCTCTTTGTGCTTGGTTTCCCTAGCTGTGTTTTGTGTAAGACAAGGTTGTCCTACCCCTGCCTTGTCCATCTAATCTCGGGAATTTACTATATTAGGAACGTATTTAATCCTGAAATCTTTAAAAATAGATCGAGGCGCGAATTCAAAGGTAGAGTTTCTGCGTTGTTCAGCTGTGTACAGTTTCACAAGTCTTCTAGCAGCAGGTGGCTATATATATAGTGGCTCCAATTCAGCCAAGTGCTTCAGCTCATATTGTATGCGTTTGCTTCATTCTTTGCCTGCTCATCATACCGATCAGCATTTAAGTCAGTGGAAACTTTATTTTAGCAATTTGCTGATTGGAGATGTAGTTAAAGATGTGACTGCTTTTAATTAGGGTGCCAAAAAGCTTTACTGAGTTGGGGGAAAATACTGTAATATTTAAATTTCTTTCAGAAATGTTTTATTGCAAGACCTGTCAAAAGGCTATTCGAATCTTTTTTTATGTTAATTAGGTATGTATTGTCTGCTAAGTCATGATCGCATTTTGTTTTTAAGTGCTTCTTGTCTCTTGCTGTTTGTTCTATACTATTGGCTTTAGTGATCAGTAGCACCATTCCTTTAGTCCTGTGCTTCCCCGTGTTGATTCTCCATCAGAAGTAGTCATGTGTCATTTGATATTATGTTTGAGAGTGAAAAATAGTAGAAACATGTCATCTTGCAATCTGCTAAGGGTAAATATTTATCATTAAATGAAACAAAGTTTGTTTTTTGGCTGTTGATCATCTCTGCCAATACCTGAGACTCAACGACAGCAAATTATAAGTCAAATTCTGTACCTTCACTTGCTCTGTTAAAATCTTGAATCTGATTTCCTTTTGATTTACAGCTGAGATTTCATTGTTTAAGTTCTATCTGAGGTGCTGAGCTATTTCTGTTTAGTCATTAGGAGAAATGGCATTTTATAATTTACCTTCTCAGCTGTCATTTCAGAATGAAAGTTACCATTGCTTTCATTTTCTGGATTCAATTTTTTCCCGTTCCTTTATGTTTTTGTTGGTTTTATTTTGCATTTTACCTCAATGAAAGTAAGAAACAATAGATTACTAGCTGCTGGGCTTAAAAAGTCAAAGCAAAATAAAAAACTTTGAACATTGATTCTTCCCTTAGGCCTTTACTGAAAACAAAACAGGAAAAATGTTAATGAAATCCCTTCCACCCCTGCGGGTAGAGAGCTCAGTACCTGACTGCCAGAGCCGCCCCAGCCAAACAGTTGTTGCCCAGGCATCAAACTTGTATCTTAACTTTAAAAAAAACAAAAAAAAAAAAAAAAAAATTTTATAAAAACCCCCCCCCCCCCCCCCCCCCCCCCCCGTAGTGACATAAAGATTATGGTTTATGTAAAAGTCTTCCAAACTTAATTGGTATTTCTTTTATTTAGCTGCTTGAGCAAATATGCATGGGAAATATCACTGAAACAGCTGGGGATTTTGGTTTGTTTTGTGTTTTTCTAAATATCTACCCAAAATTGTCTTCCACTCATGCACAGGTTTCTGCTTTATAGGGAGAAGTTTCATTAACTGCATTTTCAGTATATCTTAAGATGCATTTAATCCTGAGAAGAGGTCCTTTTAACCTTTATCTGTGCTGGTGTGTAGAGGCGTCCGTGGTTAGCTTGATGCAGCCCTTAACATGCTGCAGTGCCTAACCTGGTGCCTAATTCTGATTCAGATTGCAGCTCTCCTGTCGGAAGAGATGACATTCTGTCAGTAAACGGGCGTAATCTGCTCCCAGGTTTTTCACTGGGTGTATCAACCTGTGCTCACTCAGCTGCCTGCATCCGAAAAGACTGGCAGAACAGCCTTGTGCTGGGAAACGGTTTGCCTCTGATCATGTTACCTGTAATCCTTGATTCTGCTTGTTTGTGCTTGCCTGGAAATGATTGTCCTGTGATGCATAATCAAGAACGTAGGTGTTTAAAGCAGCCCAGATGCAGGGTATAAGAGATAATGAGTTAATGCTAAAAGTTTTCCCAGTCTGACCTGCAGATTACTGGTCTTAAAGGGCTTCAGGGATCTACTTGCTTGACCGTTTATTTACCATAAAAGGCAGATAAATCTATATGGTAAAATTGTATTCATTGTCTTCTGTAATCGAGCAGACCATGGTAATTGATTCTTTATCATGTCTTAGCCCCAAAACTACTGGTGTGATTCCAGGCCCCAAAGCAGTTCAGTTGCCAGCAGATTATAGACTGCCAGTGGAGAGCTGATGATCTGATCCTAGACTGCCAGCGGAGATCTGATGCTAATGGTTCAACCTAAGGGAAACGTTCTGTTGACAGTTTCATGTAATATACCTCTTCATTTTGACGTACTGTTAACTCTAAGAAATTCTGTCGTTGGAGCTTGTGCTAGCTAGATTGTCTTGTACTGTCCCCTTTATACGTGTTGATTCTCTCAAAGCCATTATCTGCCAGTTTTGGCGGGCACTGAATGTCCTTCCTTATTGCCTTTATCAAAGAGCAGAGAGTGTGAAAAAATGCCAGAAAAAATACGGCTTCACTCCACACCTTTGGTAAGAATTCAAGTAAAGCGTGCT